TTAGCACCCAAGTGTCAACACATAACTATCTGTAACTCTAGTCTGAGTGGTTATAATGTCCTCTCCTGGCCTCCACCAGCACTAAGTATTCATATAATGCACAGACATGCGTGCCAGCAAAACGCTCATACATGTAAGATAGAAATGCTAACAAGAAAAAGATTAACGGCTTAGTGAGTAAAGGCACTTGCTTTTCAACCTGACCTCTGAATTCAACCTTAGGGACTCACATGGTCCTTCACCAGCTATCCTCTGAGCTCCATACTCACACTGTGCTCTGTGCATATGCACACACACAAAATCTTAAAAGTGTAATGCAAAAACACAAACAACATCTTGTATTGCCAAGAATAATGCTTTATTATGTCATTCAAAGGATACAGGTCTTCTCAGAACTTACATAAGTAAAGAAGATTCTTCAGATTTAAACCAAACATATGCATAAAATTTCTTATTTATACATCAGGGATTTACATGATCCTGACTTTATTGCTAAGCCAGAATTTTACTTTAAACAATAAAATTTAGGAAAAAAATTATTAAACTAGTTGCCTATCATAAATAAAACATTTGCTAAGTAGTGCACAAACATTGAGCCATTTTTCAAGTTTTTCCATTACAGAATTATCATTTCTTACAGGTGACCCAGGTGTCATATTTCAAACGGTACACATACAGTATACAGTATTTCAATCATACATAGATCTGATCTACATTGGTACTAGAAAAAGACAAGATCTCCTTGGTCGCATAGGGACCTTGGGAGAAGGTTGAAGGGGAAGGGAGAGGCAGGGAGGGGAGCAGAGAAAAATGTAGAGCTCAATAAAAAATCAATAAAAAAGAGTCCATTCATATTAACAGAATGTCTATAACATAAAGCATTTGAACATTTGCCAATAACTCTAGCTACAGTTAACAATAACTTATGGTTTTTGTTAGAATAATAAAACGTAAAGTTTATCCCCAGAGTGTTTTATAAAGTATCTTTTATAATTTAATTATTAATATATAAAATCAGCCATAAAGTATCTGTGATAACATGTTGCATTAATTTTAACTGGAGGGAAGATCAAGAATTTATTATTTTATTTCTCATCAGTTTGTATGAGAAATGCCCAGAGAATGTGCTCAATATTTTTTTTTTGCTATGGAAGATCAATAGCTTTAAAGATAAACACATCAATTAGTATATGAATTAATACACGGCAACATGCAGAGTTAAACAAAGTATATACAGTGGAAGTACAAGGACTTTCTTTAACAAACGTGTATAGGTGAGATAAAAGTAAATAAAAATAAGCCAATTGCTCAGGTGACATGTTCCTCAATGCTCTGTATGTAAAGTTGGCAGACTCATTTGGAAGAGTAACAGGTAGAAAATCACCCTTTTAACTGTTGAAAACATAGAGGTTTTGTGTTAACAATGGGAAAATACGTATTTGTGACAAATACCAAAAATATAGGAGCTGAAATAATCAAATTATAATCAATTCAACTGCATGTATTTTAATTCAACAGTGTCTAGGAAATGCCAAATCAGCTCAGAAATTAACAGCCCATTGTGCCAATGTCCCAAGCAGTCAGTTTTGGTCAGGAATATCAAGTTTGTCATTATTCATTTATTTCCATAGTGTGAAGTTGGCAGGGCATCTTAAATTTCCCTTCCATCAGTCACCATTTCTGAACATCCTGCTGATGGGTGAAAGCAGAGGATGTGAAGAAGAGGGGAGCCACAGCTTTATTTAAATATATTTGCAGTAGTACTCGCTCATACTACGTGTGATGCAATGTTACACTTCGTGTGCAGAGGGTATGTGTTCTCTTTTTCTCAGTGTGTGTTGCATTTCCCCCATGAATAAGGATGGTCTCAACTAACTTGGTCAGTTAATTAACAGCTCTAGTGTTGGACATATCAGAGATTGTGTATTAGAATGAACAGAGAACAATTGTAGTTCTTCCGTTCAAATAATATAAGATTTGCTTGGGAATTGGTCTGACATATTCTTCTCTTCAAACCTCCATTTTAATCTTTGGTGTTAGTGCAGCAAAGCTTAACTTGTATGAGTTATTCCTTCGTGTTCGTCTTTTATTCCAATTCAAAGCAAAACTTGGAATATTGATGCGCAATCTTTATCATATGGTTGATAATGTAAGGCCCTATAAGAATCCTGGCAGTTTTAAAGAATTGCTGAAGTTTCATTAAATTTAATTAGTCTCAAACAATCTATGAGAGTTTATTCCTAGGTAACTAAGGATGTGAAAGCAGCATATGAACATCACTTGGCAGCCACTAAGTAGGGTGCTTGTTTGGTGTTGGTAGAGACATAAAGCTTGGTGCCCTGTAGAGAAAGATAATGGGGTCTCGTGATACACTTGTCCACTGCATGGCACTAGTGTTAGGTCAGCTTCACTGGCATGACAGTCAACTGAAGGGAGAGCATGCCCAAGTCCAAGGGAGTCATCTGCTTCCCATCACGTCTTAGCTGCTTATAAATATCACTGCTTGTGCCATGCCTTATGCCAATGCCAATGACTAATGTTTGTCATTATCTTCACTCAGACTCATAAAAACTTCCTCAAGAAAGTCCAATCACAGCTAGAATCATGTTAGTCAAACTGTTTTCCTACAACATGGAATATAAAAGCACTTAACTATAAAAGGTGAGATTGATTATTTTGTTTTGAGTCTGTCTGACAACTCCTACTTGTGGTTAAATTTGCTATGTGGTGAACTGAAATCCTATACGTGAATCCCGAAGAGATCTGGTTGATTTCATAATGCTTCAAAGTTACTCCATTCATCCAAAAATGTAGGTGATGATATATTATAGAAATCCCAAAAACAAGGATAAATCTGACACCGGTTGGTTGGAGGTTCAGTATTTCTAGCGGTGAGGCGACCCTTCATCTTCCATTTGTGATTTCATTTATGACCTCCGTTATTAAGGTGAGGGTACAGTATTCATTGTGAGCCCATACAGAAATGTTTAAATAAGTAAAGCAGCTCTTTGCAACATATGGAGCTGAGTAGTGCATTAAATTATTGTCAAGCAAGTGGAAAGCTCATGGTTTTATTGTGCACTATAGCAACATAACAGTAATATATTGATTCTCATTTGTCCTTAGCTTTTAGGTCTTATATCACCAGAATTTGAAGTTATGAATTCTTGAGTATTAGAGTAAAAAAGAAAGCAAAAATGAGTCAACAAGGATATGAATTTTGCTGAAAAAGCATGATAAATGTTTGAACCGTTTTTGGCAATAAATGGCACAGGAGACAAAAGTTCGTGGGGAATAAAACGTCATCTATCATACCTGATAGACATTTATAGGGCTTCTGCTTAAAGAGTTATTGTGGTCATCTTTCCAGGTTTTACCTTTTTAGGTTACAGGAAAGTTCAGTTTTGTTGCAAAGAGCCAGCATGGAGGCACTCAGTTAATACCTGTGGGATAATGCAAAGCTGAGCAGAGTGAACAGAACGTGATAGGAGAGGGCCATGAGTTCCCTCCTGAAGTTCGAATTTTCCCTAAAGCAAAAGGAGACATGAATGTACGCACTGTAGATGAAGTACACGTGGCTTTTAGTTGACAGTTGTTGGCCTGTTGTCAATCTGACCAGTACCACCTTTTCCTTCTCAAGGTTTTCAGATGCATGAGAAAGTATGGTAGCCTAGGAACAATAATAAAAGACTACCAGTATTTATTACCCATTTATTAGATGTTTGCAAATTTCTAGAGACCTTGATATGCTTTTAATGAATAATGAATTCTTTATAATAACCCAATAAAACATCATTGACTGGGGACATAGTGCTCAGTGGTAGATCATTTACACAAAGCTGTGATTTTTATGTAGAACACTGAAAAAAAGGAGAAGCAATACTGAGTCAAGTATCTTATTATTTCCATATAACAGTTAAAGAAACAGAATGAGGGAGAATAAAACAGCACACTGTGTTCTCACAGTGGGCAAGCCTAGATCTCAACCTACAACAGAAGATGGCATGTTCTTTTCCTAATTACCAGCTTGTGTAATTAATTATTTTGCTTAACATATTCAAATATTATTAGCTGTTTTACTTTTATTATCCCTAGCTCTTGTAATTGTGTTTTTATAAGGCCAAGAGCTCTTTAAGATGCAGGAGAAGCCTGAACTCAACTAGATAGCCTTTCAAGTTACTAATGTGTCTATATTAATGAAAAAGATTTGATAAATGATTGGTTTATGCCAGACACTGTTATTTTGACTGCTCCCTATGTTAAACCACAACTTTGTAAAACAGTTCTACAAGAAAAATCTGTGACTCTCATAAACACAAACATTGCTTCAGCTGTTAATACTAAATTGGTTCACAGGTTAAAAATGAAGAATGAGGGATTTTGCTGTTTCCATAGATTCCGGGACTTCTATTCCTGGGGATCTGGAATAACTGAGTATCAGGGTACAGGACACAGGGTTAATAAAAGGAAAGTTCTTGGTGGAAGAAGAACTCCCCAACCTTTCGTATTTACAGTCACTATCATGTACTGAATACTTGATGAAGACATGAACTTTACATACTGTTTGTCCTTTGCTTTTCTCTTCACCATAACTCAGGTAAGAAAAGAATTACCAGAAGTTTAGCTCTGCTATGCTATACAGGATATTCACCTCTGAAATCTCTAGGTATTTCTCCAGTTTAGAAATATTTATGATAAAAAATTAATTAAATATGGATGATATTTATTCATAATCAATTTCATGGTGCCGATGTGTAAACCACATGAATGTAAAGCATATGTATTAGTAGCACAGAAATGCTATTATATATAAAGTCATCACTTCTAACAAATATTGAAAATTCATATGAATATACATTAAGTTCTTTGTGTTATAGAAGGGCAAGTAATTATGACCGGGCTTATGCACAATATGATTACAGTTCACTTGGAGATAAAACATATGCCTGCAAACATGGACTGGGTACTATCATTACAGGCTGAACAAGAAGTTGATTTAGTTCAGGACTGGGGGAAAAAAGGCATCCTAAAAGAGATGAGATTGGATGGAATGGTCAGATGTGGAGAAAACGTAAGTGAAAAGAATTTTTGTTTTCCTTAGCCCAAACTAGTAGTATCTTGTCTTTAGAACGTGCGAGATGGCTCGGTGATTAAAAGCTTCATATTGTTCTTCCAGAGGACCTAAATTCAGTTCTCAACAACCATGTCAGGTTGCTCAAAACCACCCATAACTCCAGCTCCTGGGACATCCAATGACTTTATCCTACAAATGCACATACCCACACTCTGATACACAGACACACACACACACACACACACACACACACACACAATACACTCATTTTAAAATAATAAAAATAAATCTTTAATGTTAAGGAAAGAGCTATAATTTGCTTGAAATCATACATATGATTACAAATTCATATATCTGTAATAAGTTGAGTCACTGCTAATAAACCCAATTTAGACCACAAACTAACAATGACAGGATTTGTGTGCTATTGTTCAAGTTTTGATTTTTAGATTGTTAGCATAGCGGTTAGCATGTTAGACTTTGTATATCACATAGTTACTAAGTGAATGGGACAATTCAGGCACTTGATTTATTCAGCCCCCTTGCCTATGAGACCAATGACAGCCGTATCTATGGAAAGATGGAGTAGTTTACCCATGGCAATTTGGGGCTGTTTTTGATTGTTTTTGTCTGGCTTTCCTTTGTTGTCGTCTGGAACCAACCAAAGGCTCTCACAATTTACACAACTTTCTGAGGCAAGCTTTTCGGCTTTTGACCTCCCAGAAGGAAAGTTAAAAGTGGCAAAGGAGCTATAAGGAAGCCAGCTGCAGGAGGTTCTCTTCTGAGAACAGCTGGTGTATTGGTTACTTTTCTGCTGCTGTGATAAAACTCAATGACTTTAGCATCTTATACAAAAAAACAAAAAAACAAAACCAGTTCATTCAGGGTTATGGTTCTGGGACTCAGAGTCCATGGTGGTGATATGGAGACAGCAAGCAACAGGCATGGCCACTGAAGAAGTATCTGAGCTCACATCACAAACCACAAGCAGGAGGCAGAGACAACACACTAGATATAGCAAGATTCCTTAAATTCCCAAAGTCCAACTCCAGTGAGATACTTCTGCCAGCAAGGCCACATTTCTTAAAACTCCCAGACAGTGCTGCCAACTGGGCACTAAGAGATCAATGTCTGAGACTACAGAGGACATCTCATTCAAACCGCCACAGTAGTGAAATCCTTTTCTCAGATCAGTCCCTCCACAGGAAACAGCACAGCTACCGAGCCTACTCATCGACAGTACCATGGGTTCCCAAATATTCTCAAGTATCATCTGCTGGCTCCTGATTTTCTGAAAGAGGTGGCTGGTTTCTCACTGGTTTGGTTGGGTTTGTTGAGAATGCTTTAATAGTCATAACCAAAAACGTAACCGAGAATCTTTATCTCACCCTACATATTGGCCGCGGTGAGATCAAACATCCTTAGCATCTGTCTCTGTCATGGAGAATGGTCAGATGTTCATATTCTCCCAGTGGATCTCAGGAGATGTGTTGAAATGGGTTCAGAGGGAGAAGATAACCGGAAGAGTACACGACAAAAAGAAGGCAGAATACAGATGGGAAAGTATCATGGTGAACTGATTGCAGAAAGCTTTGATCACTCAGACAGTGTGTCAATCACTTTGTAAAAAATGGAAAATACATTCAGGGTGAAACCATATTAGCCACTTACTTTAGAATTAGAAAATGGGAGCACATAGGACCTGGAAGGAGGAGCCTGGCAGAAGATATTGTCACAGTACTAGGCCACCTGGGGCCTACACCTGAGGCCACTTGATGAAATTCTGACTGCCCCTCCCCGTTTATTGATTTTGATTCATTTGGCCTTTATATCTAAGATATAAAGACTTTTAAAATGTGGTCTCCCACTCTAAAGTAAAATCTAGTAAATTCTCAAGGTGACTGTATTCTCATAGACACAGGAAATTCAGGATTGAATGAAACCTCACAACTTCACATTGCTCAGTAGAATATTAAATTGGCTACCAAGTAGCACCATTCAAAGCTCTGTTCTCATGGCCTCCTAAATGGCTGGCATTACATTGCCCTACCATCTCCCCGTCCTCATCCTGGAGAGGCCCGATCATCATCAGATAAACACTGGGAGGAAATCCATAATTACACAATTTATTATGTGTAATGATTAAACAAGATCAGACCCAAAGTAGTTCATTCACCTTGGGCCACATGAGACAGCTGAAAATACAATGAACTCATGTATTAATGAAAATTCAAGCATGGGCCATCACATCTCTGGTGTGGTAACTATTGTTAGTTGTCAACATGACACCCTTGGGATCTCAGTTGAGGAACTACCTCCATCTGATTAGACCGGGAGACATTTTCTTGATAACTAATTGATGGAGGAAGACCCAGCAAACCGTAGTAAGAATTATCCCTGGGTAGGTGAGAAAGGCAGCTGAGCAAGCTAAACATGTGTCTCTATAATTAGTAATACTGCTGACTGAGTAAATATTTAAAGACGGTATTACTTAGGAGAAATAATCCTGTGTTAGATTGTCTGGGTACAAATCTTTCATTGACTATCAGCTAATAGTGAGTAAAGACCTCAGCCATAGTCTTTCCTTCCTTAAATGATTCTTTTCTGATGAAACAATCTATTTCATAAGCTACAATCACATTGCCCTTTTAGAAAATCCCTGGCACGGAAAAGGTGCCTGAAGAGTGTGTGCTGGCAAATCAGCAGAGATTAGATGAGGTAACATTTTAGTCTCCAAAAGACTGCACAGTGTAAGTGTACTTTCCTGTGCTGAGCTTTTACATTGTCTAGAAGCCAGTTCCCCATTTGAATGAGTCTTTTAGAAATCCATAATAAAAGCCCATCCAAACAGCTTGAAATACCAAAGCATGGTGTCATCAAAAGGTACAGTAATTACGGTAAAGGGGTCATCTTGGATTCTGCTTATACTGCATCTTTTAAATGAGCATCAGATTTTTCTCCAGGCAGTTGCTATTCCTACAGAGGCAAACACAGATGGTGTCCAAGCGTCCTACTCAGTCCTTCTAGGCAAAAGCATTGATAAAGTGCCGCAGGTCAATAAAGACTCAGAGCAAACCCCCTACCTTAGTGTCATGCAGCATGGTGAGTTAGGCAACTAACCCTCTGTAGGCAAATTCAAGGAATTGCTCACGAATAAAATATACTAATGACACAAACAAACTCTTAATTTTAAGTCTGATGAAAGAGCGATTTCTTTTGGGGGAAAAATCGCTTTGTCTTTTCCAATGAGTATCTCTAGGCAAAGAGAAACGAAGGCTTGGTTGCACACCTGTGTCTTGTAGTGCATGGGCACTTTGCCATTCTTTCTGACGTGGCCAAGCAGAGCAGAACTGAGATTTGTCTTGCTCATACTTGCCTTATAATCACACATCCTAAAAGAGAGCAAGCTTGCTTCCTGTGATTTCTACAGCTCAACCCTCTTCACTGGGTTTTGCAGTTTCTAGGTCTGCTTGCCCTTGAACCCAGTCCTTGCTGGTCCTCTAGCTCAATAGGAGGAATCTGTTCTCTTGGGCTCCTTTCCCTCAGGTAATCCCAGGTGGTACAGCTGGTTCCTGCAAGTGAAGCCTCTGAAGACTAGAGATGGAACAGGCAGAAGACAGACCCTTTCTCTGAGATTCTCTCTGTCTCCTTCCCACTCCTGCTGCGACTTTGTCTCTTTCTTGATCCTTCTCTGCAGGCCTGGGTTCTGGCTCCCACCATTTGGCATCCAGTTGTGCTGTGATAGCCCCTCCCCTCTGTTGCTCTCATCTAATCTCACTGTGACTTACTCCAGGTACTGCTTTCTGGTTGATCCTATTTTATTGTTTTCTCTCTCACAGCTTCTCTATTGGTGATTATCAATGCCCTGTTCATCTCCGTTCCTGCATTCTATCATTCAGATACTCCAAGTGAATCTTTATTTGCTAATTGATGGCTGGTGGAGTCCAGGTTGGGTCTGGACTACCTGCTCTTACTGCATTCCTGGGGAGGAAAGACTGTGGACGGCAGTGTCTTTGCTGTCATCAGCACTCCAGCCTCAGAGATGCTCCTGGTCAGGATCTCTGACAGACAACGTTCCCTTCATGGCTCTTGTCTTTGGCTACGTCACTGTGCCCTCTGAGCTCAGTCTGTGCTCCCCAGGGATGTCCAAGTATCTGCTACCTTTAGTGTCAGAACACACTCAACTGTTACCCATGAAGAAAAACCTAATCTATCCTTCCTTTCTGTAGAACATTCCCCATATATGTCACAGGGACTGATTTATCCTATCAAGAGTCAATGCTCCCCACTAGTACAGTGGTTCTCAACCTGTGGGTCAGATGAACATTCACAAGGGTCATCTAAGACCCTCTGAAAACACAGATATTTACATTATAATTCATAACAGTAACACAATTATAGTTATAAAGTAGCAATGAAAATAATTTCATGGTCGGAGGTCACCACAACATGAGGAACTGTACGAAAGAGCCACAGCGTTTGGAAGGTTGAGAACCACAGGTCTAATGAGTTACAAAGGACAACAAGGTTCCTAGACTCCCCGATCTGCAAACAGCAGAATTCGAATATATAGCATGTTAGTTCTTATTCTAAAACCCTGTTCCTTTTTGCTTTCTTTCCAATGAAAGAAATGTGAGCTGCGGAACATGTCTACTTCAAAAAGGTTTGAATTGTAGTTATTCGCCTGTTTTACACCAAAAGTGTCAAGCTGTTGATCTGCATGCAACCTTGGACCTTGTTAAGCCTTCGTAGGATGCTGAACATTGCAGCTTATGCCAATGTCAAGTTTCTAAAAATAGCCCTGTGTGGGGATTTCCCTCACTCCTTTCACACACACACACACCATTCCATTGCTCTACTTCCCCTCCTCAAATGACTTTTTTCCTCCCAGTTTCTCTTGTTAGGCTTGCTACATCTTGCTTGTGCCTCAACGGAGCACTATCTGAAATGTGTTATTTCCCTTTCCTGTCCGATGTGAGTCTCCATAATAACAAGTC